CCCCCCCTCCCATACATTGCCACCAGAACCTCACCGGCCTCTGAGACAGCCACATCCATGGTTGGTCCAACATCCGGGTCTTTCTTCGCCGGTTCCTCAACCACTGGTGAGGGCTGGCCGCCTATCGGAACCTGGAATTGAGGGTTTTCGGTGGATTCGGGTGTTTTAATCGGTTCTTGGCGTTCGGGTGACTTAGATATACCAACCGATTCTTGAATTTCAGATGACTGTGTTGTACTGAATGGTTCCTGAATTTCATGTGATTGATATGTATCAACCGGTTCTAAGGGTTCAGGTGATTGAGGTATGCCAGCTTGTTCTTGGACTTGGGGCAATGGTGCTGTTGTAACCGAATCTTGTGTCTCTGGGAATTGGGATGTTTCAACCGGTTCTTGGGGTTTGGGTAAAGTACCAATCGGTTCTTGAACTTGAGGTGATTGGGACGTTTCAACAGGTTCCAGGGATTGTGGAGAATCCACAGGTTTTCTATCTTCGGGTAATTTGGGTGTATTTACCGGTTTTTGTAATTCCGGAGTCTGGACGGAATCAAGGGGTTGACTGGTTTCAGGATTTTGTGGCGAATCTACCGTGGGTTCGGGATTATGAGACTGGGTTGTTTCAATCGTTTTTTGAGGGTTAGAGGGATTCGTGGAGACTACTGGTTCTTGGGGTTCGGGGGACTTGGTTATTTCAACCGGTTCTTGGGGTTCGGGGGACTGGGTTATTTCAACCGGTTCTTGGGGTTCAGGGGATTGGGCTATTTCAACCGGTTCTTGGGGTTTAGGATCCAGGGCTGTTTGTTTTGGTCCCTGGGGTTCGAGAAACTTTATGGTGTCGATCGGTTTGTTAGGGTCTGTGGACTGAGGCTCGTCTACTCGTTCTTCTGGCTCAGAGGGGCCTTTCTTGAGGTTCACTGGGTGCATGAAGAAACCGTCGTCTGGTCTGGCGTTCTTCAAGACCTCTATGGGGGTTTTTTCATGAGGAGAAGGAGGAGGAGTGGACAAAGGGACTTCCCCCGGTTTGAGAAGATTTTCCTCTTGAAGAAGTGTGATAAGAACCTGGAAGTCTCCATCCGGTATATGGGCACGGACTGTATTCACAATATCTGGGACCTTGTCTTCGGGGACGTTTAAGAACATCTTAAATAGGAACTCTGGAGAGCTGAGCTCAGGGGATGTTGTCTTGGTCTGTGAGAGGAACAAGGACAAATTGAAGTCCGGATACTTCTGGCTGATGTCTGCGACCAGCTGGGGCCTGACTTTGGCGGGAACCTCAGCCACGGTAGATTGCACTATCGTCTGGATGTCAAAATCTGGGAACTGCAACTTGAGGTCGAGGAGGAAACGAGGCAGGTCGAAGCCGGGGAGCTGGGTGTATACTTTGGCGACTGTGCTTGGTATTGACGGTTTCGTCTCGTACTTGGTGAAAGTAACGAGGAGTTGGTTAATGTCGATCTCTGGGTACCGGAGGCCCAACTGTACCAGGAAGTTTGGTGCGTCAAAATCTGCCGTATTTGAATGCATTTGAGCTATGACTTCTGGTCGTTGTAGTTCTGGGATGTCAGAGAAAATATCCAGCCACAACTTTTCATTGTCTGTTTCTGGGTATTGCAATGTGAGCTTCATTAGGAAATTGGGCAATTCAGGTAGCGGAATGGTCTTTATGGCTTGTCTCAGAGCTCCAGAAAGCTTTAGATTGGGAGTGCTTTTGAGAAAGTCAAGTAAAAACTGGACAATGTCTAGATCAGGTTGCTTAGCTGTCAGATCAACCACGATCTGAGAGAAAGGAAAGTCGGGCAGTATGGCGAACAAGGAAGAAAAAAATTCAGGCAGATCGCCTGACGGGATCAACTCGACTAATGGAAGCAAAATTTCTTTCATGTTGACATCAGGAAACTTTGCCACAAAGTCGAGGAGAACTGAGGGGAGTTGGAAATCGGGTACAACAATAACCAGATCTGAAAGGACTTGAGAAATTTTCCCTGTGGGCAGACTGTGCAACAGTTGGGGCAGGTCGGTCGTGAAAGTCTTGACGTCAGTAGACATTTGAGAAAATAACGATAGAAGATCTACTGTCGGCACACGTGGAAGGATCTTTCCTAAAACAGAGATGTACTCGGCTCTAGGGAGGCCCGAAGCGACAGACACAACGAGCGAGGAGAAGTCAATGTCTGTGAATTTTAGTTTTACATCGAGCAAAAAGTTTGAAAGGTCAAACTTGGGTAGTTTCCCCCTGATGTTCAGGATTGTCGTTATTGTTTCTTCTGGTGTCCGGAAGTTGAACAAGGGGAGAAGCAGGTCCTGGGCGCTGATGGTAGGTCTAATGGAAACAAGTTTTTCTAAAGCAGCAGAAAGTTTGAAACTAGGAATCTTTGAAGACAAATGTAATAATGTCTGAAGTAGGTCATCAACAGGTTCGTTTTCAAACAACAGAGCAAAAAGACCGTAAAAATCAAAGTTCGGTGACGATATTTGCACCTTTTGAAAAATGTAAGGCCAATCAAGATCCGGGAATTTCCCGTAAATCGACGACACAAAATTATTAACGACTTCTTTCCCACCTGAGGCTATGAGTGAGCCCAGAAACTCTGATGAGTTTGGAAGCTGAGGTATGGCATCAATGAGGGCATCGACAAGAACAGAGTTGGGGTGGCTATTTATGGCATTGAGAGAGAAACTAAGGAGACCGTCACTAGGCAGGAGCAGCATCAGGTTTTTTGTTAGAGAACCAACATCTAGATATGGAATCTGGGACTTTAGATCCACGAGTAAAGAAGGGAGCTGGAAATTCGGCCATGTTAGGCTTACCTCAAACAGGAAACTTGGGAGATCGATACGTGGGAGGTGGACAGATAGATCTAACAAAACGTTGTGTTTGTCTGTCGCTGGGAGCTGGATGCTTGGCAGAAGAGACTTGAAATAGGACAAGACATCGATGTCTGCGAACACCTTGGGCAGTTGAATCAGGAGCTCCTTAATTCTTATAGGATCGTTCAGCCTCGACACAATCTGTGTAAGTTCTAGTTTTAGATTAAAATCTGGCAGTTTTGTTCTCAACTGGAGGAAAAGAGACAATATTTTGTCCACCGTGAAATCTTTCAAGGATGGACCGAGATCAAAGTCAGGAAATGTTAGCTTGATGCTAAACAGAAACTCTACCCAGCTCTGAAAGTCAAGAATTTTCAAGAGATCGGAAACAAATTCATCAAGAGACAGCCCTAATGTTTTGAAGTTTGGAGTCGAAAGTTGCAAAGCGATGTCTGGAATAGAAAGTCTTAAGAGCCCAAATTCTAGAATTGCTTTGAAATTGATCTTATCCAATTTTGGCTTGAGCCCCAAAAGGAAGCTGAAAAAATTCTCCGGTGCCATTTCGGCTATGAGGGAAACCAGAGGCTTTTTCCCGTCCACGCCTGGGGATATCTCAGAAATCTGTGACAGTAACAGATTCTTGCTGTCGTCAGGTAACTTTTCCAACAGACGTAACAGAATCTTCCCGATATCTAGATCAGGCATGGAGGGAAACAAATCCCAGATGAGCTGCAAGAGTTGGTCAGTTCCCCACGTCTGCCCGAGATCAACAAAGAGTGCCGCGAGATCAAATTCTGGGAATGCCAGACGTAGGTCTATGATGACTTGTCTGACCGAGGGTTTTGGCACTCGACTGACGGCACGTAATATGACAGTCGTCAGGTCAACACCGGGGTTACTCTTCAAAACGCCCCTCACATAATCGATAACCTGCTGGGTAGGAAACTGAACAGAAATCCGAGCATTCTTCACGTCATCCAGGTTCACGTTTGGGAACTTCAACCTCAGTTTTGCCAAAAAATTATCCAAGTCCTCACCTTCCAGTCGGGAAGAGACGTAATCGATAAACTTTTCGAAATCCAGGTCGGGGATGGCCAGCAGGACAGTGTCTATCAGCTGCCACATCTCGGACACCGGAAGTTGGACCGCTATGTTCTCCACCAGGTCCTGTGTGTCCACACCGGAAGTCTTGATATACGAGGCCATGTCGCGGATGGGGACAGTCTCCGCGAGGTTCTGGGCCAGCTCCTCCACCCCTTCACCTACTTTGTCCACACCGCCCTTCACCACGTCATTCAACCCATCGCGAATCTTCTGAGGGACAAAAGGGGAGAGCATCCCTCCCTTACTTCCCTTTGATGACGTAGGTTTAGATCTGCCTCTAGAGCTTTTACTGCCACCGGGTCTGCCCGATTTGGGAGGGCTTCTTCTCGTTGGTGGGGACCCATGCCTGGAGCCCGGGGAGCGGTGACTTGTGGGAGATCTGAGTCGAGGTCGTGATTCCTTGGGTGAACTAATCTTTGACCCCGGGTGGGATAACCTCTTGCTGGGCCCAGGTCTTTTGCTTCCTGGCCTTCTGGAACCTGTAAGATTAGTTTTATGAGAGTTTTGCGGCCCTTTCAACACAATAGGTCATATAAGTGCCAAAGATTAGAAAGTATTACAAGAGAGTAACAAACACAGCAAAGAAGTAGAAAAGTGTGTGGATGGTAGATTCTGATGTTTGATAACAAGGATAAAACCCCACCAGAGCACCCGCCAAACACTGACAAACCTGTAAATGGCGGGAAGAAAATGTGATTATTACATAATAATCGATCTTTTGAGCATGAATATTTCTTCTTTTGTGTAGGTGTTTGTACGCCCCCATCGACACAATTTAGATCATTTAGGAGGCCGGCTTCGGACCCTGCCTTTCAGATCCAATGCAGAATAACAGGAATACAATATCCCAGCAAAAATACCCATTTCCTGCATAAACTTTTCTCCCCACTCTGGAATTGAACTCGAGTCTCTTGTGTGCGACTGCGAGGGGCTTAACAGCTTCACTATAGACGCTAGTTACATTTCTGAGCTGTGACAGATATGGGCAAATTTACTTAGTGGATTACGTTGGTTTACAGAGATACACAACGTCGGACATGTAGGTAAACAAACAAAACACCGGCTTCATAAACATTAAAACGACTGAACAAAAATACACTGATAGATAGATAGCTAGATAGATAGATATATAGATAGATAAATAAATAGATAGATAGATAGATAGATAGATAGATAGATAGATAGATAGATAGATAGATAGATAGATAGACCGATTAAACGGACAATCAAACTGTCAGCCAGGCAGAGAGACAGATAATCAGACAAAAACAACGAACCAAGGGCAAAACAACCGTCCGACAACCTCACCAGGTCTACTCCCCGGTCCTCTGAGTCCACTCCTCCCTCCCGCCAACCTGGAGTGATCAGGCCTCCCACTGGCGCGAAAACTGGCGCGGGAACTGGCGCGGGAACGGGAACTGGCGCGGGAACTGGCGCGGGAACTGGCGCGGGAACGGGAACTGGCGCGGGAACTGGCGCTGGAACTGGCTCGTCCCCCGCCCTCCACATCTGGGCCACTGCCCAACAGGCCAAGGAGGTTGCCGCCCCTGATTTAGGAAACGTCACACGGAGAAACAGGTTTGAGTTGGAGGAAAGAGAAGCACATTGACTCAATAACGTTCATTTAGAGTAGGGAAGGAGCAAGACACATAGGCATAATCAACGGAGGGGACCCTGAGAAACTTCAACTACTGGGAAAACCACCCAACTAGTAAATCAGCTTAAATGTATGTATGTATGTATGTATGTATGTATGTATGTATGTATGTATGTATGTATTATGCATCTATAACACACAAACAAACAAACATAACAAAAGCAACCCAACCATTAAGAAGGAACAGCACACGTTAAAGAGAAAAAAAAAGGCTCGACACTTGCTCGACACAAAAGAAACAAAGAAAATTCAGGATAAGACGAGAGCCAGAAGCGGAATACAATATAATCGCAATACAGAGAGATCATAATATTATTATGAAAAAAAAAGCAAAGGAAATAGAACGGAGAAAGACCATCACCTGTCCAGAGGTCGTGCTCTTGACCCCACACCACGTGACCCCGGCGAGACGGGCGGACCTGGCAATCTGAGGGAGTGACCTCTTCTGGACACACCTGGACCACCTGTGGGGTGGGTGGAGGGTGGGGGGGGGGGCAAGAGGAGAGAGTTTTACGGGGTTTTTTTTTTTGGGGGGGGGGGTGATGATGTGTGTGTTTGTGTGTGTGAGTGTGAGTGAGTGAGTGAGTGAGAGTGTGTGTGTGAGTGTGTGTGTGAGTGTGTGAGTGTGAGTGCGTGTATGCGTGTGTTTATGTGTGTGTGTGTGTGTGTGTGTGTGTGTGTGTGTGTGTGTGTGTGTGTGTGTATGCGTGTGTGTATGTGTGTGTGTGTGAGAGAGAGTGTATGGCCGGTCCCAGGGCGCCCCTGTAGGTCTGATCTGTAGCTGGCTTACTTTGCGCCATGCAAATGAATAATACATGTATTACACATTACTTGTGCTTGAGCAGCGTCGCTGGGTGGTCTTTCTGCTATCGGCGGTGCTGCGCGACGACTCAGACGTGCTATTCAACAATGTTGTATAACACGTCTATCACGGAGCCGCGCTTCGTGTTCATTTTCGCCCAAAATTATTCACAGGTCATCAAAATCAGCAAGAAGTTAGTTATTAGGTGCTTTGCCAATTAGATATTGATGCTAGCATGAACACTTGACCACAACATCCCAAGAAATGCACTTTCTTATACATTAAATTTTTCAATCGAAAAGTTGACCTAGTTTCGACTGTTTGTTTACATTCGTACGTCTGTGTGCTTCTTTTAGGCTAGAATCTTGAACTGGATTCATAGTTCAGGAGGTGAGATGCACAGGGGTTCATTTCTCTAGAAAGGCCTAGATTCCAAATATAAATAATAATTTACATCTGATCTAGGTCTAGATTTAAAGTATTCACCTCAGAACCTTTCTAGATCTAGACCGAAGGCTCTCGTGACCCTACCCCCTCACCCCTTTTACCCCCTCCTCAGGGCATCTGACTCTTTCTGCATCTTTTTACTGCTACTCTTTAGCTCCTTCTTACTGCTGTCTTTCAGCGACACCCCTGATCTTCTGGATCAATCCTTCTCGGACAAAGGCGAAACATCTCGGAGGTCCCGCGTGCTAGTTGCGCACGTTAAAGATCCCGTGGTGGTCTAAAATCGATAAGAGTAGGTCTCCACCGCCGCCCGGGCAAAATTCAACATTTCCTACCAACTAGAAATGTTTAATGTGTCACGTGCGCTTATATGACCTTCTGCAGTTGCGAGCGCCGTGAAAAAAACTTATAATAAAATAAAAGAATCTAGACCTAGATCTACCCAAATATCTGGTGTACATTTTTAGTAAACAGATCTCGAAACAAGGGCTAGGTAAGAATGAAAGATATCGTACAGTTTGATGATGAGAAGCTTGGAATTATGAAAGAAGAAAAACAGACCAAGCGAGACAGGAGACAGGATTAAAGCAGAGAAGGCATATTGCAACTCTCACACAGTGTTTCCACAGGTCTTTAGAAAAGTCAATAATCAACGTCCTTAGTTTTTTTGTCAAAACAAAAATAAGGATAAAAAGTCACTAATTTTTGTCATCGGGTTGTCACGTCCTTAAATGGTCCTTTAATTTGGCAATATTTGTCAAAATATGGTCATGGAAATTGTGGATGATGCTCCATCAACGCTGTTGCATCACATGAACTTGACACTTGACAGTTACTCGCGGCACACACAGTACATAGCAAGCAGACCCGTCAATCGTCAGACGTAAACCCATTGTGAGGCTGTGCCGACACGCAGCTAGCGTGCCTCGCGCTAGCCCAGATACAGACTTACAGAGCCACTCTGGGACCGGCCTATGAGTGTGTGTGTGTGTGTGTGTGTGTAGAGAGAGAGAGAGAGTGAGTGTGTTTTAGTGTGTGTTTGTATGAGTGTGTGTGTGTGTGTGTGTGTGTGTGTGTGTGTGTGTGTGTGTTTTATAGTGTGTGTGAAAGTGTGTGAAAGTGTGTGTGAAAGTGTTTGTGCGTGTATGTGTGTGTGCGTGTGAGTGCGTGTGTGTGTGTGTGTGTGTGTGTGTGTGTGAGTGTTTGATTGTGTGTGTGTGTGTGTGTGTGTGTGTATGTGGGAGCGTGTGTGTGAATGCTTTATGCATCGTTATACATGTACATGCCTCATGTGTAAAAGAATTTATGTATTTTATTAGGTCGGTGATTAAGTATGTCTGATTTAAGTATGCTTTGATAGTTTGTCTATATAGAATAGGAGTGTTTTTCCAAATTCAGATAACAACTTCCACCCCCACCCCCCTAAACATTGTTAACAAATAATTTAAGATTACTTGTAAAAAAGCTAGTTTGAGATGAAAACATAAGGAAAGACACATGTACGGAAACTCCCACTTTGGCGGTCACTCAGAACTGGTGAGAAACCTGTCACTTACCGTGGTGGCTCCTTCTCTTTGATCCCCGCGGCCTGCCTGACACACCTGCCGCAGGAACGACATACGGAAGAAAAAGAATGAGAATTGGTGAAGTATCGGGTCTTATGAGAATTTCAACAATATTTGGGTAAAGCATAATGGAAAAAAAATCTTGTACACGTCCATTTCCCTTCTTCGTGAGACATTTACTTTTCTTGTACAAAGCGAGAACTGGCCTCTGTGGTCAAAAGCTTTGGTGTCAGGCAGTCACTCACAGGAGACCATCTTTCGATTCTCAAGTTAGGATACTTTTTAAAATCAAGTATGCCAGTCTCTCTGCTGGGACGTATTCCTTTCAGCCCGGGTCTGTCTACCGTGATGTTGCATCCTTCTCAGCTCGGGTCTGCCAGCTGGGATGTTGTATCCCTCTCAGTCCGGGTCAGTCTGCTTGGATGTTGTACCCCTCTCAGCCTGATTGGTCCCTGACCGACAGGGTCGGTAGCCCGGCTCCTAAATCATCTAGACCATGGCCATGTGGACGTGAAAACACCTACATTTCTCTGTCTCAGAATCACAAAATTCTATCTGTACAGAACCTAGTTTTGAGAAAATTGACCCCCAAAATGTTGTCAAGCTTTTGTCAAAAAAGATTTTTTGAATAATGATAATGATTCTGAATGAACTTACGATTTTTATAGAGCAGATAGAACGTTTGGTCTCTGACCTCATGGTCATAATGACTCAAAACGGCCACAAATTAGTGGTGGGCCAAGAATCGATCCCATAACCGATTCCTGCGATTATTGCTTATGAGAAAAAAAAACGATCCCTTTTTCGTAAACAAACAATTCTCAATTATTCTATTATTATCTTAATTTTTCTTTACAGAATGTATTTTTAAAAAAAAATGTTGGTGCTTTGCTATGTTCTGAAATCGAGGTTATCCTGAATCTTGGAGACTTAAGAAAGAGTAGTCGTAATGCAAATTCATTGTCAAAGATTATCGATCTAGTAAACAGTGTAAATACGTATTCGTTGCTTTCGCCTTTTTCTCATTCATCTGTTGTTGTTTTTATAATATGTGAGGCAGCATGGTGGAATCAGACTCTCGTCGAAATAATCCAAGAGAAGAAACTTGCATTTTTCCGCAAGTTTGTGAATTCTTTTCAAATTTTTGTTTTTTAGCTCAACAACTTTCATGCCCATTAAAAGACTCTTATCTGAGAGGATTTTTCTGAAAAGCGTTGATTAAAGGCACAAAAACGTAAATTTTCAGTTACCACGGACTCTTAAGCTTTGGAAATAACTAATCTTTGACGGTCATTTTTTCACTAATTTTACCTCTGAAAACAGGTGATCCCAACCTCCATCTTTCGCAAATATCTCGACTTGTATCCTAGATAAATGGATGCTTTTTCATCTAAATAAAAGATCAGTGAACATGCTTCAAGATGATACTAATAACGCTACATGCCCAATAATTGACGAGAGCCTGATTCCACCACGCTGCCTCACATATTATTCCCTTTTCTTTCAATTCAAAATCTAAAACTGTAACGTCTTCCCACGAGGCTCTATATTATAGGCTCTCATTTCTCGGTGTAGGTCAGTGTTGGTTCTTTGACTTCACACTGTAGAGATTGGGTGGGGTAGTGTCTGGGGTAGCGCCCTCCCACCCCAAGTAATCAAAGTGGTCGGACTACTCGTTAATCGCCGAAATAATTGTTGGTGTCAGACTTATCGCTACTCGGAGGAAGTATTATTGCAGGGGTCGGACTAACTGCTAATTGCTGTATATATAATCATGATACTGGGTAGGGGTCGAAGCCACTGGAAGAAATCACATCACTGGCTATAATGAAAGTACTTGGGTTCGGAACCGATTCTTACGATTCCTGGCCTTTAATGATCGGGAATTTTAGGTTACCGAAAAACCCCCAACCCGGAACCGTCCAGCTCTACCACAAATGTCAGATAAAACTTTGCAATTCTGAGGTAGCGATGCAACAAAAGCAATGATAAAAACACACGAATTAGCAGGCTGTGACTCGTTTGATAAGACAATGACTTCTGGAACTCAAAAGTTTCCCCCATCAAGGTTTAAAATAATATATACGTCTGCAGAGTAGTGCGGGGGATTTCTAGTGAACGAAACTTTATTGAAGCTTCGAAGCGTGGAGTCACTATTTGTGCTATTATTTGAATACCTGAACAAATGTTACGATTTTTTTTTCTTATTAGAAGTACACCAGTAACATCGGCTGTTCTTTAGTATTATTCATTATTCTCTATTCACAGAGCTCTTATTATGCTGTCTTGTTATAATCAAGCACGAAGTATATCTATATTATTATTAACCTCAATGATCTTAACGATGGGTTGAGAAAATTAGATTAAAATTCATTGTCTGTAAAAATCTCTATGCCGCAACCCCCCTTCTCCCACCCCCTCATCCCCCCCTCCATTTCTTTTTAAAATTTAAACTTACAGAAACGTTGCCTTAGAGTTAATAATCGAAAAACGTAAATGAAAAATATACCCCCCCCCCCTTCCCCTTCCAAGAAAAAAAAGCTACAGCAACAAACATACACAAACAAAAATAACTTACTGGCACAGTCTAAGAGCATCAGGAGCAGACAACTGCACATCAGTAGGCTCATTCCCTTCATGGTGAGATGACTGTCTTTAAAGCCAATTGTCACGGGGCATAACCTACAGTCTTTTATATCTGGAGA